GGTCAATGTGGCACGCAACTTACTGCTTCTCTCTTAGAGGGCCATCTAAAAAAACAAACGTAAGCAAAATACTTTTTCAGTTTGGCAATCATATTCAATGACAGTATTGGCTTTCACTGCTTTCACGATCACGATTCCCTGGTTTTGTTCTTTACTGCAAGATGAATGCTTGTTGAGACGGAAAATTTAGGATTTTTGCGATATATTTGTATATTTAACACCGGCTTGTGGACAAGCATGGTGCTAACGCAACAACAATAATAACGATAACAATACAGGAGGGGAGGTTCGAATACAGAACGTATGAAAAAGATGGAACTGTTGAACTGAGAAATAAATGGGATGACAATTTGTTTTGTGTTTCACCGTACACTTTTTTTTATTTTTTTATGTTAGTTTGTCTTTTATTCTTATGGGATACGGGATTTCGACAGGAAAACCGTACAGCATTCGCGCCACTGACTTCTATTCTGGGTCATATCTCTCAGCGTCCCTAACCAACGACCATCCTCATCTCTTGATCCCCAACCTAGAAGGCGGGCCGTACCAACCAAAGCCAAAGCTTCTTCGTACCTCTACACCGTGTTATGGTCTAACCACCACGATGCTTCTTCCAGCTTTTCCCGGCACGTGCAAAGAAAGCACGGAAAAGTAGTCGATGGGTGACAAGAATTTTTAAGTTTTTCTCTTGGTTGCTGATTTCAAAAACTTAAACTGAAGACATTCTGACACGTTGCTAGTTTCCTCGATATATACTCGTTCCTGTAGGATTTTTGCGTTGTACTATGGTATTTTTTTGAGCTAAAAGTACATCTTGAACAGACGTTTCCGAAATCTATGGATTAGAATCCAGGCAATATCGATGCACGGGAATCGTGCTGTGAGCGGCATTGAACTACTCTGATTGAACTACCAAAATAGGAATTAGGAGGAATTAGACGTAGAGAACTACTGGCAGCTACGCAAAAAAAACAAATTATTTCAATGTTTATTTCGATTTTTGTGCATTTTGCTCTCTGAAATTTATCAACCTGTCACAAGATTAAGAGTCTCTGAATCGTGTCCGGTTGTACCATAATGGACAGCGTGCTCAAAACGGACACTATAAGTCAAGTTAGGCTATTGAACTACGGTTTTCGGTATCTGTTTAATGAACAATTAGTATTCTTTGGTGGTATTCCTGAGTGTGGCAAGCCTTCATTTGCATGTATCTATTCCATCAACTAGGGTATCAACATTTGTCCTANCTATTTATTTTGCTTTTTGAGTGTTTTATTTTCTGTTGCTAAAAAGACAGCAGCCAAATAAAATAACCAGCTGGAAAGGGAAATACTAGGCTATGATTCTGCACAAAAAGCTATGCTACGAAAAAGAAATTATGATAAATGATTGAAACCACAAATAAGTCAAAACTCTGTCGGCCCCTGAGTATATGGTCTTGAATTATTTAGATCAACTATTCTTTCTTTAGTTAAATATCCGGTCAATACCACATTTCTCAAATACCTACAAAGGGTCATTGATTTTCGTGTTATCTAGCTAAAACTTTGGAAGATCAAATAATCCGTCACCCTTTGCTGCACACAATCATTCACTTCTTTGGGTTAGAGACATTTGAAAGACAAATAGTCATTTTTATCCCTGTTTTGATTGAAGTTTTACTCCTTCGTGTTTTAAATCTGAACCTATTCCGAACCGCCACCACAAATCATCTATTTTGTCAAATGTCTCAATGCGGTTGACTGCACAATCTGTTTTGTTTTCCCCATAATAATGCGACTGTTAAGATGCAAAAAATTACTATACTGTTATGAATAAGCTGATATCGTCTATATCACGGGGATCAACTGTCCAAAAACGAGGATCGGAAGCCAGATCATCTACAAATAAAGATATAATCCTGGTTCCACCCTCCTAAGCTGTAGACAACTTGAAGTCCTTTAGTTTTCGCTATCCAATTTGACAGTGCTAAGTCTACTCGTTTGACGGTCCACCATTTAGGTAATGTCATCTCGGGTACGGTGAGGTGTCAGAGCGTCATCTCAATTGTTCTGTAGTTGAGCAGCATAGAATATAACCGAATCACCATAACTGTATTTGTTCGGGAAGCCTCAGTACTCGCTCAGTGTTATGCCGGTTTCGTGTTAGGGAATATTCGGGTCACTTCACCATGCCAATGAACTTAAAAAAATCCGCGTCAGGTGTCAGTGATCAAAATAATGAAAGGGGTACCCCTAAACGTTAAGATTCTGTAATTCGTTGTTGGTGAACAGGCGAATAGTCTAAAAATAACTCCACTGCACCTTTGGGAGCTTTGTCTCGACAAGCACTGTTATGTGAATTGATGCGACGATTTTAAAATAATACTAGTAACAATTTCTTCATAAATAATTTTATTTAATAACAAGTGTCCTTCCATCCAGTACCCATAGTACCCACTATGGGCTTAGAAGTTTTGTATTTTCAAGGGAAAATTAACGAAAGAAACGGGATAAATAAAATTGATCTGTTACCGCCCAACAAATAACCTTTGGGAATTCTCTACTCTTAGACTTTGTTGATGACATATCTATCGTATTGTCTTGAATAACGAGCCCTGATCTAGAAATACGCGAATCCTTAATTAGGTGTTTACTGCAATGACACACGAAGCATTACAGATTCCAAGCAAACTACCCTGTATACCGGATCCGTCACTGGATAACATGGCTTTGATAGTGAGAAAGTTAGAACAAAACTATTAACTTTGCGTAAGAATTCATCCCAAGACGCGGGCAATATACATCCCCGGACTCTGAAGTCGCTAGCCAATAACATTTCCAAATCTCTGGCTATTCTTTACCAAAGGATGTTCAACAATTCCGCAGTCATGGAAAGAAGGGGTGATTTCTCCCATTTACAAAGGGGGATCTCGCAGTGATCCAGTTAACCACCGCCCTGTTACACTTCTTCCGATATTGTTGAAAGTCATGGAGGCTATTATGGCAGACCTGTTGATGGGATATCTGGAGAAGCATGACCTTTTGTCTCCAATCCAGCACGGATTTCGGCACAAGCGTTCGTGCACCACAAACCTACTTCTTGCACAGGATGAGTGGACAAGATCCGTCGATGCAGGCCAGCCATTGGATATAGTTAATTTGGGCTTCTCCAAGGCATTTGATTGAGTAAACCACCAAATTCTACTGCAAAAGCTCTACAGCTACGGAGTAAGAGGTTTGGTTCTGGACTGGATCAAGGAGTTTCTCCCACAAATAACCATGTCAGTTCATGTTGGTGATTCGTTATCAGAGGGTATCATCGCTACCTGGGGGTTCCTCAAGGATCCGTACTGGGGCCTCGTCTCTTTCTTGCATTTATAAACGACCTGTCACATGTCCTTGGG